TGAACAACCAGCATCCAAACTTAGCCTTTGCGATGGAGCATACATGGGACGGAAGGCGGCCATATTTGGATGTAAAAGTGACGGTGGAAAGGAAGAACAATCGCAAAACGTAAGAAACGGAGCTCTATATAAGCCAACCAACCCTGGTATAATGCCCCACTGCAAATATGTGCATCCAATTTCCTTTAAGGATAATACAATGTCTAACAAGTTCCATAGGGTTTTAAACAACTCATTAACACGCGCTCGATGGGCAGTCAAATTGACCCCCCTCTCCCTCCAAAGGTTTTTTGGAATGGTTTCCGAACGGCGTGGTGTAGCCACGCCAAATTTGGCATGGTTGTGGACGATCAAGTAGCCAATCGATTGACATGCAAATATTACATTTACCTTTCACGGTCGCCGGTCTGCAGCAGGTCAGTCAGGCCATGAATTTAACAAAGTCATTTTCTATGGAATTGTTCAGCCTGATGCAACAACGGAGCGCTGCACGAAGCCATACATCTCTGAGACGTTTTCTTAAGTAGCAAAACAATTTAATAAACAAATGTCATGTACGTAGGTTTAGGTATGATGGTCATACCAAGGTCAACTTCAGCCTGTTTTATTACTCTATGGCTTGCTGTATGAGTCTGGTGCTCATTTAGAGCTTATTGATGACAGGAATGTCATCATTCATCTTCCATGGACTTCGTAAAGCTCATTATAGGTTACTGACCTAAAATGATCAAGGTCAAAACGTTGCTTCTAGGAACATGCTGCAAAGCGTACTCTCTGTCGCTTACTCAAATGCAAAGCTCAAGGCAGTCTTGTATGATTTTGGTCACCATTACCTTCGAAAGATCAAACAACGTCACTGACCTTAAATGAGCATGTGAAATTTTTCTTAGGACAGGTGTCTAACTTCCGGGACACTTTGGACACCAACCTGGAGTTTGACCTTGTTTGACCTTATTTGTCCCAAAAGTAGTCAGGAACATAGGAGTCCCAAACTTTGACCCAAGTGAGTTTCCGTACAGGCCGACACACCCTGCGAATTTGGTGTTTACAGTTCTCTTACGGGGGCGAGTTAAGCAGTGAAAAGGAGAGAAAGATCATAAGCCAAATATGGACTTAATTGTTGGACAATGGATGTCATCCACAACTTTCAGGTAGAATGTTGGAAGAGGCAAAACGTCGAGCGCGTGGAGGATGGGTAGTGGGAGGAGGTGACACGTCCTGTCGGACGACGGGTCCTCAACACTAAATAAATGAGCACTTCCTTTGGAAAATTAAAGATACCATTAGAAAATCAAAGCTGCGCGTTCGGATAGTTTGAAATAATGACAATCAACTAAAGAAGTCTGTGATGAAATATCGTATCTCGAAGCCCAAGTGTGCGGAAAAAAGGGGCTTGCGCGCAAAAAAAAAAACGGTTTACGAAATTAAGCGTAAACTGTGAAAACAGAGGAGGGACATGGTCTACGTCGGGAGTTTATGCGCCCTATCCGTTTAAAGTGTAATGAACACCTGCAGGAAGCTAAAACCAAAACAAGGAGCACCCCCTTCGGTGACGATTTTTTTGGTGGGGGGGGGGGGGCAAAACACGCTCAGGCGGAAATCCAAGAAGGTATGGACATTTTACCCTTTGGAGAGCTAAAAGTCGACTACAGAATACAGGACCATCCAGACAGGGAAATATGTGAATATATTCATGCAAAAGGTCGGCGACCAGAGCTCAACGTCCAGGGCTCATCATGGCTGATTATGCGAATGTGATAAGCACCCTGCTGTGTGATGCGTGCTAGCTTAAAATCGTTTACATGCATGAGTGGTGCCTGGCAGTGATGCTTTAGGTCTGTTTAAATGAAATCGTTTGCACGCATTAAAAATTTCGTGGCGCAAGCAAGCAAAAATTTTCGTGGCGCAAATCGCTTGTATTGTGAATGAAGCGTGATGCGTGATGACTTTTTACCTTAATTCGTATGCACATACACGTATTTTCGCGTATTTTAATTCTTAGTTTGACGTGCACTGCATCGTAGCAATGGTTAGCAACCGTTGCTTTTTAAATCCCTGGGTGCTGGTGGCCAGTAAAAACTGTGACTCGCTGTTCAAAAACAACTGAAAAATGGAGTAGGGCTGGCAGGCAACTTTAAATTAACAACTGCTATTCCTTTTGATAAAGGTATGTTGCCAAAACATCAACACATCTTTCTCTTCATTTCCCTGTTTTTTTAAGAGGAACAAGGCTATTACTACTGTCTGATCTATATGCATTGTTCCGCAATTGCACTTGACATCTTCCGTAATCATGGGCATTGCGTTTGTCTGAGAACTCATATATCATCGTCACGAGATCGCGTCTCACAGAAAAAAAAATCAAAATCACCTGTATCCAACAGCACACTTTTCTTCCGGTAGTACCAATATGGACAGGTACACTTGACAGGCAGCTGCAGCGCACACTGCAGCAGAGAACGTTACAGCCAGTGCAAGTGCAATGAGTGCTGCAGATGTCACATGTTGCGAGAACCGACGCACGGTGGCAAAATGTGACACGTGCTTTGCTTTGGCTCGCTTTGCACACATTGCTCCACGTGCGGGATTGATTGGGAGCGGATGCCGATTGTTTCCATTGCAACAAACACTTAACAACAGATACAGCCAGTTCAGGCACCTGAGGATGAAAACGTTCCTCCATTCTTGCCCCAGATCTGAATTGCTGTTGCTGGTAGCGGCATTCCGGGACTCGGCTGTGCTGCAAATGAATTACAGCTCTTCTGGACTTAGTCTATGCTTGAGGCTTATGACTGATCAAATGCAGTCCAGGGATGTGAGGTGACTGTTCATGCTTTCGTGTTGACAAGGCAAACAATGGGGAACTTGAATTACTCTTAAAAGTATCTTGAGTAGAGTCTGTGCAATGCTGGTCAGCGGTTACATGTTTCTAGCCGCAAGTTCCACTCAAGCCTTTGAGGCATTGCAGAAACTCATCTATCGAATCATCGCATTTTTGACGGCGGCTCACCAACAGGTAGCAGGCGTGTGCTTTACTCATTGGTACTCTATTGGTTTAATCATTCCCCAGCTGGGTGACCGGGCGATGTCGAAGTAATAAAAAGGTATTTAGAAGTGAGACAAGCTCCAAAAAAATTGCAGGCCGCAATAATTTTCTGGACCAATACCGTTAATACGTACGAAAATCTGCCCCACCAGACATTGCACTTACTTAAAAATACCAAATGCAAACAGCACGATGCAATTTACAGATTTGCGATGAGATGTTACACGCCAGTCTCAGCATATTCGGGAAGAATCTTCCCACGAGAGGGGTCGTCCCATTCTCCTGAATCGAGGCTCGACCAGCTGACCAATCAGTGGAGTCACATGTCCCTCCGATGTACAGCAGTATGGTTCCTCCACCGGCTCGGGCAATCCTGGAGCGGGCGGCTCGGGTGCTGAGTAGCCGAGACCGTACACGACGCGAGACGGCGATTGGCAAGTGTACCGCCAACACCCGAAAACCCCTGGCTCAGTCGAGACCGCTCACTTACAGAGATTGATCTTGCCTCATATTCAAAGTCATGCCGTAGCTCTGCTTGGCAGGAAACTATCCGTTTGAAATCGAAGGGCATTTCAGATGGGATAAGTGGGACTCTTCGGGTGAAGATGTTTGCCTCCTCAGCCTTGTTCGTCAGAAATGTCGCCATTTCAGGGGTTGGGAATTCAGGTTTTCGTAAGAGCATGATGGGCGCGTCTTGTTTGAACACCAAGCTGTGCGGTGAAATCATAGTAGCCCCAGGCTGCTGAGAAGCCCCAGTAGGTAGTTCACAGCGTCCTCTGGGTTTGGGTTATTGTCTAGCGACGACTTGCAGGTCCTTGTCTCTCCGCGTTGCTTTTCCAGAAGCTTGCAGTTCTTATCAGCAATGAAGTCGGTCGTTGCCAGGATGACTTATTCGCTGAGCAAGGTCGAGTCTTGGTTCCAGGTCGATGAGGCCATGACCGAGAAGCCGTCAATGAGTGCTCTCTTTGGAACCATCACCCCGGTTGGGTTGACAAGCTCAACTGGCCGCTATATTCTGGTTTACACTCAATCGGTCTCCTCGCGACTGGCCGATACACATTCGATTAGCACGCGATAGCCGTTTTACTTCATTCGACGACCTCCGATGACCCCATTGGGCAAGTTTACTTGCCCCGCATAACGCGTCATGGTTCGATTTGGACCAAAGTGTAACACAAACCTTCATATCGCCATGCTGATTGAGAACAGATGGTACTAGGGGGTTCTACCACTGGTGGTTCTCGAGCCATGGGATCAGACGACAGGGTTTCCCATGTATTATGTCAGATAGATGCCTCGGAACGTGACTATGGTAGCATTGTAGCTATCAGAGTGGGGAGTGTATTCACGAATTTTCCGTGATGTATGATGCATAGGCACGCTCAGCCCATATCCAGTAAGTGGTATTACTAATGAGTAGTTGGTTGTGGTGCCTAACAACTCTCAGGAATTATTTTGGCCATTACCTGGCAGCGCCACTTGTGTCGGGATTTATTTTGAATTAATTTAAATATATATTGTTTACTAAATTGCATTATCTATTTAAGCCGTTGCAGGCGCTAGGACATGTCCATGCTCCCTACAGAAATGAGGTTTATTAATCTGAGTAGTTGCAGAGAGCCAAACATTCATGCGGCATGCGATAGGGAGCCTTGGGCAAAGTCGTACGTGTTTGCAACCGCATGGATCCAGCAATCTGACTTTACTCCGCAAAGGCCTGTCATGCAACGCACTACCTTTGGGAGCACACGACGAGCACTCATTCCTTATAGTCTTATGGGACAAAAGCCGACCAATGAACAATGACAAGCATACGACAAACATGAGTTCACAGACAGACAGATTTAAACACAGCTCGTACTGATCAGGATGGAAAGATAACAAGGCGCCTGCAGCCAAGTTTGAGAGCCCCGGGCACGACACCGCCCGCTGCTGGTCCCGGACGCGTGCGTACCTGCAGTGAATCAGGATAGGCCCGGCCCCGTCTCCGCTGTTGGCGGCGGCCGTCTTCCTCACGAAGCGGAGGATGGACAGGGGCTGGTCGGGCACACCCTCGGCCGGCCAGCTGGTGTAGTGGTACTCGTAGATGACCCGCCCGCCGCATACGGCTCTGCTTTTTTGCTGCGGCAGTGCCCGCCACGTTGGGAAGTGTGCGATATGTAATGCTCTATTTGAGTACGGTAAACGTTCCGTCATTTCATCCCGATGCAATGTGCTAAGCATGAAGGTCAATAGGTAACTTACACTGTATGCAAGAATTTCATAGGGCGACACTACTCGTTGGTGTTAAGTTCATAGTTCATAGTTCAGATAAGTTCAAGTCAAGTTAAGTTAAGTTAAGTTCAAGTTCGTTGGTGTCATGGTTTCCGATGCACCTGAAGGAACGTACCTTGGCGTGCTTCATGACAAACTTCCGTACTGTATACGACGCCAGCCGCCGTGTTTGCAGGTGCTCCACTTCTATGAGACCGTGCGTTTCCTTTCCGTCCAGGGGCCAATATTTATTGTACGTATTCTGTAAAAGGCGTATCATATCAAGTACGTACTACAAAGAATCAGCTCACTACGGTAAGCGAATTGAAGTTGGGCTTGACAAAAACATAACGGCCTCGCGCTTCACGATTTCTCTCTCCCAGCAACGTGACGGGGTCTTAAGACGAACCCGGTTTTGAGTCGAGAATGCTCACCACCTAAGAACACTTGAAACTGCTTGAGAACGTTTCAAGCATGCTTCGACATAATTTCAAAAGGCTTTGTGTTACGTTGTTTTCATTTCTAAGTTAAATTTCTCGAAGTCGTCCATTCTGCCCCCCCCCCCCCGCAAAAGCTCATCACCCCAAATAGCGTGATATTAAGACATAAACCAGCTCTCCTTGACATTTCAAGCACACTGTAATATCGATCAAAGTGAGAGTCACGAAGGCTGTGGCATGGTCGGCTAATGCTGCCGCAGACACACCTCTAAATCTACTCCTCTAAATCTACGGATCCTCTAAATTCCGCCCTTCGGATACAATATGTGATAAAACCATGGTTGAGGAGCAGAACTATAGCTTGCATCTGCGGCTTGCTCGGGTTTAACCCACCGGCCTCTTCATTCATGTCACTTCGGAGTCAGGTAGATCTAGTCTGTTGACTCTACCGAACAAGCATGGTCGATCAGGGTTGCAATACCCATGTGACATTACTGGGACTGGCATTGAGCCAAGAGCATGAAGACACCGAACTAGTCGGTTCTACCCACCTCAGCTGTTCATGTGCCTACTCACAACTGCTACGTTACTTTCATGCGCTCCAACGGAGGTCATGCTGTTGTCTTATCTATCGAGGGTTATCTCTGTCACAGGTTATGCTGAAGCAACTCCCGGACTGATGCGTACTGGTCCTGTACGTAAGTCAGTACATGCTGACCATGACCTTCGCTTGGCGCGTACTGACCCTGTTTCGTTCCGCCTGGCTGGTGATCATGATGACGATCTGGACCCGCTGCTCCCAGATCAGGCGCCAGAAAGCCGCCAGCGAGCCAGTCAACGGTGTCCGGACGCCGATGTACTGGTTGCGGAAGAGGAAGCCGTCGATGTAGTTGGCGTCGATGTGCTCTCCCTGCCGCTGACCGGGCAGCGGACGCAGAGGCACCAGACTGTGGGCATCTGGTCAGAAGCACAACAGCGTAGTTGACTGGGCAGTGCACAGGTGCCCTGGTGTGGGCGAACCAAGAAGTTTGCGTGGTTCCTGTTGCGCAGATTGACCAATGGAACACGAATGATGGATGAATATTCTATTCCGTGCATCAGTGGAAATGAAATGTCGATGAACCCTTCAACGCACAGTATGCAATACATCCTAGCTTTATATATAGCGTGCGGAGCCACAGGTGTGCCAAGTGAACGCCGTTTGAGGCGCGGAAATCTGGCGTTGGAGAACACGAGAGCCCGGCGGTCCCTCCCCGCGAGCTGCTGCGACGAGCGGATGGGACGGTCTGCCTGCTGTCCTTCTGTCCGGCGTCCGGCTATCGCAAGCGCATCCACACCGGCCATGCGCATGTGTTGAGGCCGACCGCTGGCTGTGACTGCGCCCCTTGCCGCCGGTCCGCTTAAGCAGACGCCACAGAGATCCAATGGCGTGGGGGAAGGAGCTGGCGATGAAGAGGACACCCCTCTTCCCTTCGCCCGGACCCGACTACCAGTCAGCTGGCGGTCGGGCGGCGCCACGTCGACAGAGGTCTTCAGTATGACCTTAGAGGTGGCGCGACAGACTGCTCCTCGTCATCTTTCGGAGCCATCAAGCAGCCGGTGTCTTGCGCGAAGCGTTCCTTAAAGGCGCGCGGCGACCCACATGCATGGATTTTCATGCGGACGTTGCCGGGGGTAAAAGCCGCTATGTCCAGTCCGGGCAGGTTCCCTTGACTGATGAGAAAGATACGGGTCTGACGCTAGGTGACCCCGGCTTGCAGCCGGGTCCGCCCGCGGGAAGGAGGACGACCTCGTCATCACTCCTTCTTTTCTCCCACGGGGACCGATCCTTGGAGCGTCTGCTCGCATGAGCCCGTGACTAGACGCGTCGTCGCAGCCAGCGGCCCGCCTCAACACATGCACGTAGCTGGTGTACGGATCGACCAGCGAGAGCCGGCTGCCGAGCGGTAGGACAGAGGGTGCGCCGTCACAGTCGCCCGCCGCAGCGGCGCCGGTGTGTCGGCCGGTGTCGCCGCTGTCGGCGCCGGTGTGTCGGCCGGTGTCGCCAGTGTCGGCGCCGGTGTGTCGGCCGGTGTCGCCGCTGTCGGTGCCGGTGTGTCAGCCGGTGTCGCCAGTGTCGGCGCCGGTACGTCGGCCGGTGTCGCCAGTGTCGGCGCCGGTGTGTCGGCCGGTGTCACCGCTGTCGGCGCTGGTGTGTCGGCCGGTGTCGCCAGTGTCGGCGCCGGTGTGTCGGCCGGTGTCGCCGGTGTCGGCGCCGGTGTGTCGGCCAGTGTCGCCGGTGTCGGCGCCGGTGTGCGTCCTACGCCGCCAGGCGCCCGCGCCCCAGCCGGTGCCTGCACCGAACACTTGAGCTCCGTTACAAAACCTGCTACGGGGCGGTACGTGTGTAGTTAAACACCAGTCTTGCAGAATGATTACGCGTACTCTACAGCATGATAAAGGAACAAGCATGCTTACATGCGTTGATGTCTTGACACCTGTTTTTCTCAGCAATTGTAGTCCACCCCAGCTGCATGCTGTGTTCCAGTATCTCTTCATGCTCCTTATAAAGACCTGTAGAGGCAAATGCAAAATGTGATTGCACTAGTGGTCATTTTCTATGTAATGAAGGCTTCCCTCTTGTAATAAAATTAACACCTTTCTTTTTTCACCGCTACTGTCCTCTTCAACAAAACTGTTCAGTTTCCAACAGCGCATTCAGTGAACTGTCATCCCAAATATCTCGATCAATGCTGTTAATCTGCTGAATGAATCCATTCATCCTTGATCCACATGCTATTAGCCTTATCCGGTTTACTACAAAATTGTCCCGTCTATTAACGCCATCAACCCGTTTACTGCTTCATTCACGTGTCTTAATACTTGCACTGTTAACTGATCACAGTTGTGTCACCCGTGCGCTCTTCACAGCAAATGCCCTTCTAGGGAAAAAGGAGCCTGCGCTTCAGGATCCGTCCCTAAATACGGGTCACCGCGGACCAAACAAGCATTATATGAGCATTATCGCTGGAAATCCCGCCTCATGATCCGTATACTGTCTTGAATGGACACGATAAATGGCACTGTTTTTCTGGAAGAAAAGAGGGACTCAGATTCTTTGATCTGGCAAAGATCCAAATGTGGCTTTGCTTTTCGCGACGACAATTGACTGCTCTTATTTCATTAACCCCTACCCTTGTCTCGTTTGGCAATACCCCTATTCTGCTGACTGCACCCCTGCCCCGCTGTACCTTCATCTGAGTTGGCGTGCAGGTTAGCCACGTGTGCCGAGAAGGCGGCGGCCGGGACTGGTCCGGTGCCTCCGCCCGGCCCGCGCCGTTCCCAGTCGGCGGGGGACGTCACTGGCACACGGACCGCCGCCGGTCCGGCCGTGGAGCCCCGCGACCCCGCCACGTAACACCTGCCGGGTATAGCGGCTCATGTGTGGCTGGAGTGGCACGCTGTAGGCACACTGGCTTAGTTAATGTCAGCGTGCTGATGGGGCGGGTTTTTCAGGTCCAGATTAAACTGCATTCAACGATCACACAAGGTTTGATGTGCTCCAAAATGCGGGAAAACACACGCATCCCTTGCCAAATAGTCCGAAAGTGTATAACCTTACATCTGCATCCACGAAGGCCCCAGTTCGGAGGCTAACTGTGCCGGACAGCATCCCTCGCCTGTGTGCCGGTAGGCCCGCCTCACCTCCAGATGGCCAGCGCCGCCAGCGCCAGCAGGAAGGCACAGCAGGCGCACGCGATGCCGGCGATAAGGCCGGCGTTGAGCGGCGCGGCGCTGCCCAGGTGGCGCCACACGCTCCAGGTGGCGCCAGCGGCGCGGTCGCACTGGCGCCGGGCGCGGCCGGCCAGCGGCGCCGAGGGCGGCGACAGGAGCAGCGGCACCGAGCGGTGGAGGGAGCGGGCCGCCGCCCGCACGCGGACCTCGTACAGCGTGCCGGCCGTCAGATTCGACAGCAGAAACTGAGGAGGAATGGTCAGAGTATGGGCTGGCCAGTGGAGACCGCAGGCATCGGTCACGAGAAACCGGAGACGGACATTATCCTGGATGGAACTCAGGAGACTTTCTTGGAAGACACGCTATAGAACGTGCCACTTTTTTCTTTAAACTAGCTCGGCTTAGGATGGTTGGAGGTCGTCGCTGCGGTCTCAGACGTCTCCTTTCCCTGGCATGGCTCGCTATCGATCGACGGATGATTGTTTGATGATGAGTCTCTCCCGAGGCAGACAAAAGATCGCAGTGAGCCACATACCTGCATGCGACAGATGATGTCCGTCAAAAGACAGAAACAAAATGTAAACAATGTGATTACTATGTAAATGACCTGTGTAAGCATTTTGTAAATAACCTGTGTAAGTATATTGCAAATGACCTGTGTAAGCAGTTTATAAATGAAAACATACAAGATTGAAATATGTCATGGCGTCCTATTCTAGCCTAGCATGGGGATACCAAACCAAGACAAGTAATTCTCTGCTGATTTCTGTCAAGACCCACAGCGCGGCGCAGTGTCTGCAGTGTTCTCCCTCTCTCCATACCCACCTTTCCCTCCCGGCCGACCGGGTCGGCGGCGACCGGCACCTCCGTGATGGCTGCCGCCCGCTCGGCCCGGTAGCTGACCAGATAGTGGTGGACGCGGCCGCTGAAGATGAAGCTGGAGTTGGGGCTGGAGCTGAAGCTGGGGCTAGAGCTGGAGCCGGAGTTGGAGCTAGAGCTCGAGCTAGAGTTGGAGCTGGAGCGCTCCGGCGGCCGCCAGGTCAGCAGCAGTGCCGCGTCCGGTCGGCACGCGAGCGAGGTCAGCCGCGGTGCCGCCGGCGCCGACACGTCGGTGGTGACCGCGAGCGCCGCCGACTCGCGGCCCTCCATGCTCCGAGTGAACGCCTTCACCGTCACCGAGTAGTTGGTGAACGGAACTGCCACAGGCGAGGTGGGAAGTGGACTCTTACTTTGGCTACAGCGACAGGACGAAGACCGGCTGGTGGATTGCTGGCCTGGTTTTTTCTAGAGGAGTGTCATAAAAGCCGCACAAAATATGAATACCGCAGGCTGTTTGCAGTATCGCTGAGTGTTTCAGCTGTCAATAAGCGACACACAGGACTGCATTGCGGCGCTTGTCGCCGTGCTGTTCACACAGTGCTTTGAAAAATCCCGATTGGTAATGTGGATGCGGTGGTAAAATGTTCATGCAGTTTGGTGTGATTTGCAAATGCAACGACATAAAGACCACCGTTGCGGACAATTTACGCACAGCATCACATAACGAAATGACAAGTGAAGACAGTCACCCATTTGCGTCCACTCCCTGCTTTAGGTGAAAACCGACAAGCATAGAACGTTTGTCAGAATAAAAGCCATCAGCCATCCGGTAGCTTCTCACCGAGGTTCCTCAGCGTGTACTGCGTATTGTCCAGGGGCAGCCGGAGCCAGGTGGCGTTAGTGAAGTTGCCAGTGCTGATGTAGATCCTGTAGCCCTCGATGAGACCGTTGCGGCGGCTCGGCGGCAGCCAGGAGATGGTGACCGTGGTGTCGGTCACGTTCAGGACGGACACCTGCCGCGGAGCTTCAGGAACTGAAGCAAAGTCCCGAGGCGGGTCAACGTCCTCCGCAGGCCAAATGACGCCAAATTGCTGAAAACGACTGAATCAGAACAGGTTATTCCACGTCTCACAGCAAGAATATGTGGACCGTTTTTCGAAACCGTAGCAACCTTCAACTTGCTAGGTCTTCCTGGATTGTGCTTGAGCTGGCAGCAAAACAGATCCAACTATTTCAAGCTGTCTCGTAGATCTTGTCTTGTCGGCTACCAAGTCGCGATGGTTGTACCAGTGTGTTAAATCCAGGCAACTTTGATTGCAATGTCGTGGCATTGCATGACCTTTATTATCATAGTAACATGTATGGCATCCAAACTGCTACTCCTTGCGCAATATGTGTGAATCAACATCGCAAGCTAAATTATTGGAAAGGTCGCTACATCGGATTTAAGCAGTGCCAAAGGAGTTGAGCTACATGCGTGTTCACATTACCTCCTTCGTCCGTAGTGACAACGACGGTAGAGCTGGGGCCCAGGCCAGCCGGGTTCTCCACTTGTACGGAGATGAGATACTGGGTGAATGGACGCAGGCCAAAGATGGCGTGACTCTGGAAATGGCGGCAAAAAAATGATCTGACCATTTGACACTGCACGCGTAAATCAGCTGATACCGCAGTAACGTGAGGACGTCTGTCGGTCAGCTGGCGTTGGCCGAAGATCAAGTTGGACATGGGTAGATGTTTGATGGTTATGATGACACGATGTTACGGTTATGTTTGATGAGGCGTGGCTTTTGAAGTTATTTATAAATTTTGTGACCGCATGTTGGTGGTGAGTTCAGGGCGCAAGTGACAAAAGCTACTTGTGCGTGTCGAAGGTCGCTCACACGGGCGTGTCACCCACATCGAGAGAGGGGACAGAGCCCATGGCTCCACCCATCGCGTCCCTCCTGGTAGCAGGGATGGTCATCTTATTCAAACGGTTTAGGCCTTCCTCGGTTTGGACCACGAAACACAAGTTTGCACACTCCAGACCATCGGTTGGAGAGTTAGGTGCCGGATTCCGGTGACACCTCCGCACCCATGTAAAAATTTCAGCTGTGCTTCTGTCCTCCCGTGGCACCAAGATACCTCCACCGCAGTTGAAAACCCCCAAACCTCGCGTTAACGCGCTTAGACTCCGATTCCAGTATCCTGTTCAAAGCCCGGCCAGTCACTCTTTTTCTCACTGACTCCCCGCACGAGAAGTAAGGCACTTGGTTTTTCAGCTAGCGGGAACGCATCGTCTGTGACCCGGCATAAGCCACGCTGGCTCGTCCAAGGCCGCCCCGAGCCCCGCCCACTTATTCGCAGCTGACAGGGAGACTTCCTTGAAGATAGGTCTATTCTGTTCACCCCACCCCTCGGCCTGCACTCGCCTGGATTCTCTCGTCCTTGATCCGAAGCTCTTTGGCGCTGTCTTTGGCCGCGCCACGCTCACGGTAGGTGATGCGGTAGTACTGGAACTCGCCGCGCAGCTCCTGGCTCGACAATGGCCTCCAGCGGACGCGCACCGAGGTGGAGCTTGTGTTGTGCGCAGCCAGGATCGCTGGCTTACCGGATGGCGCTGCCAGTGAGCGGAGCCGACACATATACGTCAAGTGATGTTTGTCGCGGCTTGTGCGCGACGGCTAAATGTTTTAGAACAGGCGGAGGTTAGGCTAATTAATGATGAAATCCTAATCGTCACATGCTGCACATTGATATAAAAGGGCCCGTTGTACACTTTGAGTGACATCAGACGTCGTTGGCTTAGAAGCCGCGATCTACCGTTGTGCAGTCAGGCTATTCCAAATCCCGATGACAGCCTTGAGTGCATCGCCTCTGGCCAGACCGCAGAGCGTGATCGCCGCCGGCAGCTGGTGGGAGCTCGGATCTCATCAGCTGCACAGCAGCTATGCAAACAAAACAAAGTGGTGCGCAGCCTGAGGACGTGATTATGTTGAATGCGTTGTTTACGCCGAGCATGCAAATTGTGAGCCGTGCTGGCCTGGCATTTTCGTGTCTTCGGGATCTCCGACTGAAGAGAGCGCCAATGTTGTGACATATAGCGGAAACAATGCCAAAAAATAGGTCTTTTCGGATAAAGAAAAGGGTTGGGATATTAACCTTGTGTTGATTAGAAATAGCTGGTAGCATGCAGCAACTTTTTGTTGGATGAAAACTTATTGCTTTAGCAGTTAGTTAAAGTTCGTGAGAACAGCAGTCACGGGTTTGAGGCGCTCGCAGAAGCGGTAATGGTGTGCATCGAAATAGCTTGACTGGCACGGTATGTCTTGAACGTGACATGGGGGCCAAAACATATGAGACATTCTTTTAATAATTATAAAAGAGACTGAGGAGTCTATGGTGTAAAGTAGTTATCATTAGAGGAGATTTATACCACCAAACGTTTTCGACAACAGAAAACTTGCGAAGCTAACCCGACAGAAATTGAAGCATGGGTACAAGGTGTTAAGCGTGCAAACGTGAGACGGGAAAGCGCATAACCAAAAAACACGGAAAACATGAAACTACTGGGGTGTACTACACCTGTCAGAGATCAGCAGCGAGCAATGCCGGATGATAATCACTTTCCTCTCTGTCGGGTCCAACGGAGTCTCACCCGCTGTAGCTATGCAGGTTACAGCTTGGGAGCGCGCCACACTGACATATTAACGGAACATAGTGACGGGCATGGGCAACAAGAATGCCATTGACGCCCATATGAGCAGCGCCCAGGGTAGTCCGGGTCAGTGTAGTCAGGGTCAATACGGGGGCCCCTATGGTCACTACTGGTGGCAATACTGCATCAATACTGGAGCCGGCATAGGTGCTGTGCATTAGTGACCGTCAAAGCTGGCCAAATTCAGCCTGAGACCAGGGGACGCTAAATTATTTCAATAAGTTTAGTTTGACAACCTTTTTACTCGAATAATGTTGCGGTCCCGAAACAACATCCACACACGAATGAAGCGAGAACAATTCAACGACTGGGTACTGTGTTTTTACGGTAACGAACGGTAACGGTAACCGTAACGAAATTCGCAACACGAGATATATGGAACTGGTGTGGAAACGGTAGGGTGCCTTTACACATGGAACTTAAACAAGAAAATTATTACTTTAGACATGGGAGATCCGGGAGCCCACCAGAGCTTCAAGCGACTTGTTTGGTAGTAGTGGGTCGCTGATGGGTTTCAAGCAGTTAACATGCGCATATGGCATAAACGGTATATTGTTGGATTTCTCGGGACTTCATGATGGTTTACCGGGCTCGTGCTGGGATGGAGAAGCTGGCAGCACCTACTATTCATCCAACTATTTCGTTCATTTTGCTATGGTCTGAAGGGCCAAAATACGCATGCATCATACTTGTTGCTTACAAATTACAGAAGCATGAACACATATAGAAAGACAAGTGGGGAAAACGATACGGCAATAATATTTGCCGGCATGATGCTTGCCGGGATATATTTGAAGCTACATCAAGTTCATGATACAGAGCACTACATTATAAGACAATGACATGTCGCAGGACCCCAGAAAATAACATGGACCCATGTCACAAACAGGGTTCTGCGTCACATGGGTATTGCAGAAAGTAGTGATTGTGTGCACTGCAATACTGCTAGGAAGACCATGGAGCATAAATTTTCGAATTTCCCGATAGTTCAAGGATTTGGGCAAGAAATACGAATATTATTATCAGAAAAGAATATTATGAGGAGCATGATTGAATCCAACGAGTCAACAGTGATGCTGGGAACATTTAAAAATCAATTGAGAAATCGCATGGCTGCATATTCCAAAAGCTTAATCAGAGGGGGTTAGATTTGCCTCTCAATCGTGTTATCTCTGCTTGTAAAGGACAGAAGACATGTGGGAGGGTTGATCGCAACACGTAATAGATCCAGCATGAGAGGAAATGGGCAAATCTGAGACGGGAATGTGATGTCTGAGGTGGCTGTTGAGGCTTTTTTTGTAACATGTTAACAAAAGGATGTAAAGCGAGCGGGTTAAGTCATTGCAGCTTATTCCCTTTGAACTCGATTACTGAAGCGCCCATTTGTGAGGATTTTGTAACACATGTATTTGTAGTTGTCAAATTTATGCATTATGCGCCACATGTAAAATAAATGACACAAAGCTTTTTGAAGAAAGTATGCAGTTAAAAGAACTTTGAATATGACAATGAATCATGTTAGGAGAATTGCCTTAACACAACTTGGCCAAACTCGAGAAAACATTAAGAGAAAAGCAGCGTGAACGCAGCGACGTCATTGATAACTAGAGCCGCCTAACGCGAAACCATTTCGATTGGACAGATGCTACTACCACCACAATTGAATATCACCAGCTTCTCCTTCCCACACGTGGCGCCCTGATAGCACGCTGCATTTACAGCGTATGCAATGGCCATCGCATTAGATAAGCTCTGGACGGACCGACTGGTAGAACGGGTCGTGACCCCAGCTTCACCCAGCCCGGCGCCGCGACTGGTAGGGAAGAGAGGGGGGGGGGGGCGGATGAGTTGGACAGCGCACCGGGAGCGGAATGGCGACTAGATGGTCGGTGCCGGACCGTAACACTACATATGCAGCAGTGGCGGCGCCCGGCAATCAGAGCCGGCGTTGGCCGGACCAGCAGCCGACGTCGGCCGGACCAGCAGCCGACGATCGGCCGGACCAGCAGCCGACGGTCGGCAGGACCAGCAGCCGACAGTCGGCCGGACCAGCAGCCGACGATCGGCCGGACCAGCAGCCGACGATGCGCACGGGCAGGAGTGTGCGGGAGTGACACGGGGAATGACAGGCGGCCGCAATGACCGGGAGTCTGCGGGAGTGACACAGGAGGAGCGATATAGGAGGAGTTGACGGGCGGCGGCCACGGCTGGGAGTCTGTGGGAGTGACAGGGGAGGACGACAGGCGGCCGCTGGGGCGGGGAGCCTGCGAGGGTGACTATAACAACAAAGCCTATCTAGTTAAAGAAGTGCGGTCGCTTGAAAGTCCATGACCACGAGTAGCTCCCGTGACGCTAGATGGAAACAGACCGGTGTCTACACAAAACAAGAACGGACAGAACAAGACGCAACGACACGGCTCGAAGCGTAGCGTTTTTGTTCAGGCATGCTACGTAAGCGCAGCAATGGCGGGTTGCATCGCGGGTGCACTTAGACTGTCGGCGGCAGCAGCCAAGGATTTACAGGCAGGCATAGAGGCGTCGCTGGATTTTCCAGATAGTAACAGCTTGTCCGCTGACCGGTTGGAATTGGTTTCTTGTGTTGCAGGCCCTGGATCTAGCAGATAGGACGCCTTGCCGCCCTCCTGGACAATCACTTTCCAACACGGACGGTGACCCCTAACCAAAACCAATCATTGAGGATCCATCAACAACGCTGGAGACACGTGTCCCTCGAAATATGAAAGTAACTTCGGCCCCCGGCAGGCTGCTTAACGGCGCCACAGGCACGCTTTTATGGCGGCCATGGGCGGCGGCAAGTGTTTTTGGTTGTGGGGAACGGGGACAGAGCCAGTGATGAAGGATTTCGGTCATAACCGTGCTCCGGAGTTTTTCAGTTTAACTTCTCAGGCCTTTGCGTGTCCTCCGGCCGTGGGTGTGTAGAATTTTAAGCGTCGTTTATCCGCTCAGCTGTTACGTGTTATGTGGTGGTGAAAGCAAACACGACTTTATGCCTACGAGTATACGGGGTGTTGTAGTGTTAGCATGTGCATTGCTTTATGCAAACATATATGTTACGTTTCTATAGGGCGGTAAACGTCCGGCCACATTGACGAATCCAGTCACGGGTTTTGGGAGCCAAGGCATTTGGCAAAATTACACAATTTACCCCAATTTCATTTTTTGTCCGTTGATTTAGGTCGCACTGCCTCTAGCATAAAATACCGCTCTGTTTACATTATGGTTTTTGTGTGAATCGAGAGCGGTACGCAAACAGTGCGTCTCAATTTAGCGTCACACCTTATTTTTCATGTCAGCTATGTCATGGATTAAAAACCGTAATAAACAACATAATCCTGATCAACAGTGCTCAAACATACTCAACTGGGTTTAACAACTCTTGACGTACAGTTCACATTGACCAACAGCTGTGTGGGATGGTTGTAAGCCCAACGGTGAGGATGACTTTGTTGTAACAGTGTGGCAGAAAAGGCATGTGCTATTGACGGAGCCACCAAACGCATGCTTATTACTGAATCATTGAGTTGCCAGAGGTGCACGTAAACCTCCGTTGGATGGATGCATGCCATAGCACGTAAACCATTTCAATTTCATGAGAGCTATTTCCTCATCAGCATAGCAACGTGATAGATGGACAGCCCACAAAACAAGTCTAATTTGATTGCTTTATATTACTCATTACATTGGCTTCATTATCTGCTGTGCATTTTTGGCTTCATTATCTACATGGCTTACATGGCTTCATTATCTGCTGCACGCAATGATGCAGCTCAAACCTGCGATCCGGGCAACCTGAAAGTCTGAGTCCATCCTGAACTGATGCATTCCCTGAAATGGTGGGAGGTCGCGGCCACATTTGTAATGTGGCGAAACGCGTATTGGTAGGTTCGCCTTCCAGATTCGGTTGTT